CCAGAAGGGATCACACCGAGGTGTGAACTGACCGATGGGCGTTTCTTTTCCCCAAACATCGCACTCGCACTGAGCTCGCCACCTAAACTTTCATCACTCGCTGGGTGGGTAGGACCTACAAGTTCGCTCCAGGCAGGTTCACATCGAACTGTGAACTCTTCCCTGACCATTGAAGTTGAAGGCAGTTTTTTCTCTATTCCCGAATTTGCGAGACAGCCTGAATTTTAATTGGTGTGGTCACAGCGTAATGGTGCGTAACGACAAAGGCGGGGGGACTCAATCAGAGATGGAAGGCTACAATTTTTGGACAGGTAAAGGGGAGGGGCAACTGGATAAACGTAGATAAAGATCTCGAGACATATGCTAATGAGTGTACGGTATAATATCATGCCACCATGCTACTGTGATTGGTATCAAGGTTGACCACTGTTCGCTCGTCATATGTCATAAACCTACCCAGGGGTCACGTCAGTTGTAGATTCTTCCTTGGCTTCGTCGGCTAAAATCCGGTATTTCCCTTGCTCCCGAGCTCTGGGATCTTAGGCGTAGACTACTGTAGTAGAGAATTTTTGGTTACACTACATTTACTAGACTCTAGGAAACTACATGTATCTTGGTTTGCCGTTTGCGCCGTGGACTGCGCAGTGTGACCAAAATCTGTCTTAACCACTTAACCACTATTATAATCAATTGAAACTGAAACTGAGTTCTCAATGTATATCAATCTAATAATTTTTTAGGCTACCTAAATTTTTTTTCTTCCTTTTTTGTGGTTTGTGCTTAAGGCTACCTTTATTCCTTGAGGATTTGAATGAAGAATTCAATGCACTTTTTGCTGGCCATTTTCATCAATTTTATATTTTCTTAGATCAACTTTGTCTCTACATTTTCCAATGTGGATACTTTTCCTACTTTCCGACCTCTAGGACTGACTTACATTTTGATCATATTGTCTTGCTCAAGCAAGTTCTATTCATAATATACATCACTTACTCACTAGTTGCGTCTGTGTGTTTGCTGGGTTGGGTTTTTTTTTCAATTTCACGGACCATTTCCACCTACGTTCAGTGCATATATTCAAATGCTTTGTATACTGTTTACATTATTGGTAATAAATGGCCCGAATTTGTCAAATATACTAGATATGTTATTCAATATGATGTTTTGCATTAGCACTGAAGTGTTTTAGCATATAAGTATAAGCAAAAAGTACTCAAAATGTACTCGTAGGTACTTTTTTAAAAAGTACTTGTACTTAATTACATTTTACAGGAAAGTACTTTTACTGTACTTAAGTACATATTTTAGATTGTACTTAAATTTGTACTTAAGTACATGTACCTTTTTAAAAGTACTTTAACAGCTCTGTCTATAGGTACGTCTATGTGTTGTGTGAGTGCAAGGCGTAGGTGTGTGTGTGTGTGTGTGTGTGTGTGTGTG